GCTGGGCTTCCCCTGCAACCAGTTCGGCTTCCAGGTAAGTGCCAGGAACCATGGAATGGGTTGGAAAGGAGCTCAAAGCTCACCCGGTTCCACGGGCGGGGACACCCTCCACAAGCCCCATCCAACACGTCCCTGTGCCGCTATCCCACCACCTCCGTCGCGAAGCCTCTTCCACAGGCTCATGGAATTCCTCCTGCCAGGAGAACGGCACCAACGAGGAGATCCTCAACATCCTGAAGCACGTGCGGCCGGGGGGCGGCTTTGAGCCCAACTTCACCCTGTTCCAGAAGTGCCAGGTGAACGGGACGGACACTCACCCTGTCTTTGCCTACCTGAAGCTCCATCTCCCTACTCCGGCCGACGAGGCAGCGACCCTCATGTCGGAGCCGCGGCCTGCCAGGAGAACGGCACCAACGAGGAGATCCTCAACATCCTGAAGCACGTGCGGCCGGGGGGCGGCTTTGAGCCCAACTTCACCCTGTTCCAGAAGTGCCAGGTGAACGGGACGGACACTCACCCTGTCTTTGCCTACCTGAAGCTCCATCTCCCTACTCCGGCCGACGAGGCAGCGACCCTCATGTCGGAGCCGCGGTTCCTGTCCTGGAGCCCTGTCCGGCGCTCCGACATCTCCTGGAACTTCGAGAAGTTCCTGGTGGGGCCTGAGGGGGAACCGTTCCGGCGCTACAGCCCCCGCATGGCCACTGCTCAGCTGGAGCCCGACATCCAGCGGCTCCTCAAGCTGGCCAAATAGAGCCCGCATCCCACACCCTGCTTCCCTCGGGATGCTCCCAGCTCTCCGCCGGGTGATGGTCCCCTCTGAAACCACCACAGGGAGGGGGCTGGATGGGGGCAGAGAGCTGGAGCCACCGGGGTGCTGTGGGCTGGTGGCAATAAAGGAGGAGGGAGCGTACCCCAAAGTGTGTGTGGTCTGTGGGGGGCTGGTGGGATGAGGAGGAAACCCCCAGGGGTGCTGGATATAGGATGTGGTGCTGGATGGAGCGGTGCCAGGCTCCCTGTGGGTGTCACGGGGTGCCAAGAGCAGCATCGCACCCCAGGGAGTGATTTTGGGGTGGTGGCG